GAGAGAGAGAGAACAAGCGAATTTGGTTTAATATTCAATGTGTTAATATATGATATCTCTTTTCTTCTTTCACAAACTTCAATTGATGTCAAATTTAAATTTAAATATACACGATATTGCTATTACAGTAAATAACAAGTTTAATCTTCTTTGTAATAATGTTTCGTATTTTCATTAAACATGTCATTCTATCTTTTTATTCGTTCGTTACATTGCAAAATTATTAGATTCTCAATGCTTCGCATTAAATGGAAACCATATTATTAAACCATTATTTTGCTTTCACACAATGATACAGTAAACTAAAACTCGTATGAGTATATCCGCCGTTTATTCGAAGTTTATTGCTTAAGAACCTTCTGCACAGTGCGAAAGCGGAAGCGAAGAAACGACGAGCGTTATATCGAATTACCGTGAGCAAACGTATTTATATACTTGCTCGTAATTGCCGTGTGATCGTAAATCTCAAATAGACGAAGGATAAGAGTTATTGCCACATCTCTCCAGCTTAGCTTCGGTATATCTGTTCCTAAGCGACGCCGCGTTAGAGTTAATCCAGTGTAGAACTTAGAAAAAATATCTCACTGAGAAGGTTTATATTGCACGATAAATCACAATAATAGCATTGCACGATAAATCACAATAATTGCATAATTTTCAAATCGAATCCTGATACGCAAGCGATTAAAAACTACATATCATTAATTATTAATTTATATTAACTATTATTCATTTACTTTGAAAATATGTACACAACGGAAAATTATATATCCGTGAAATCAAAATTAGAAATATATAAAAATAAGCGAATTCTGCTAAAAATTTATAATTTAAACTCGGAATAAAAATTTTTCATCTCTTTCTTGTTTGTTTTCTCTCATTTCTTAAGTAACGAATATAATAAATCATTAAAACTATTAGAAATCTTTAATAAAAGGCTGAAAAAGGCTCAAAATTCCTTGAGAAAGTCAACCTTCCTTAAATTTTCATAATGCGCGATTTCCAGGTCAAAATGCTTTTAAATTTTTGATTCTCTCGGATTATATTTTGTGCATTTAAGAAAACCACATATCGGCCGATGGGGAAGTTTCGTGACAATAATTCAAGCGATAAGTCGCGCGGAATAAAATTTCACAAAGAAATTCATTGAAAGTTCGAGCCGTGCAACTGTAAAAGCTCTGACTTTATACCCCGAAGTTCCCGAAAATGTACTAAATTTTACAATCTATAGATAGACAGAGAAGTCCAGGGAATTTTGACACCTACGAGAAGCGAAGTCAGGAGTTTTATAGCGTCGAGTTCGCGGGAACTTTCGTCGTCTCTTATTATAGATTTAAAAGCAATGCGCTCTTCTGCACTGTGAATTGTTTACACGTAACAATATCCATCGTTGATACCTTGTCTTCTCACCTTACGTTATGCAATAACATCGCCAGCATAATGTACAACGCAATCTTCTCTTGCGTAGATTGATGTATATAATATAACTTTATATAATATAATATTAAAACATATATATTTATTAGAAATGAGCTTATTCAGTCATGACTGAATCTTGATCTCTAATAATATCATCTGACTTATATAATGTGTTTTGCAATAAGATATATTCTAGGAGATTTTAATCATTAAATTGATTATCGAGATGTTAAAGAAGGAATATGTAGTTCTAGTTTTGACCAATTATGTTGCAAGCTCATTAAAAGAATTATAGCATGCAGTTAATGGCGAGAAAAAATTTATAAATTTATATATTAATTATATAAATAAAAGCTAAAACAAAATCTATAATAATCTATTGAATTTATATATATTATTCAGAAAATGAATGTTAAACAGGAAGAAAAAGATCCAGTTATAATCGAATAAAACTTTCTTGTATACTCCTAATATTGAGACATTTGCAGGTTTATAATATTTATATATTTAATATAAATTTAATTTTTATTTAATTTTTTAATTTAATTTCCAAAAAATGATTTTTGTAAATCACATCTTTTTAGTTGAGGAAACTAATGCTTGAAATTTTTCTTTTCCCTATTTTCCAGGGATAGGAAATCAGCCGAATACGCTTGTATGTCTTGGCCGAATCAATAAGAAAGCTGTCTCTATAACGTGTTGGAAACGGCAAAAATATTCAAGTCGCGTGAAAATAGGGTTACTCCTCTGCATGAATGCGCCCTTAGAAAATTCTCTATGCGTGCAACGCACTTGCTGGAAAAAACTTCACGCTTTTTAAAAAGTTATGAAATCGTAAATGTTGAGCGCGGGAAGAGAACCCAGACATTCTTCCGTCTTCTCGACGTTTCCGCCCCCGTCTATACATATTCTCGGCGAAGAGCGCATTGTCTTCAAGCGTCGACGAACTTGTGAAAATTTCAAGCGAGCTATCCGCCGAACGTTAATCAAATCACTAAATTCTGTTCGAGTGGATAGCAATGTGTATAAACACAATAATTCAAAATTAATCTCTTCTGATTCAATAGATATCACAAATCTCTCCTCATTCTATTGGCGATGGTTTCATTTCATATCGATATCATATCATATTCTTTACATTCCGATTGCATGTATCAGTAGCGCAATGTTATTTGTAACAGTACTGATAGGAACTGTGTTATTTTTCGAACAAATATTCTCAAATATTTTTCGTATTTCAGGCGGAAATTGTTTTTTACTACTTTGCCAATCACATTATTGATGTTATTAAAAATCATTCATGGAAAATATCTTTAAAAATATTTTTAAAACATTATAAGTGTTTTATTTCTATCTTCTATTAAATACTACATTAATCTTTCAGTCGTATCTAAGCCAAAGAAATATATCTAAGCAAAAGAAAACTAAAACACAAAATTGAATGAAAAGTCGAGAAGCATTTTTGTTTGGCCACAAAATCTTTGCTAGGAAAAATTTCTTTATCAAATTTGTCAAAAAATACGCGATCGGATAAGAATAGAGTAAATATCTTGACGAAAGATAAAAGCAAAGTCTGTTTTAAAGAACAAGTCAAAAAAAAGTATGTTCCTCCATTCCTCGTGTATCTACAATATTGATAGAAACGAATCAAGTTCTGCTACGCTAAGGTAAATAGATCCATCTCGACATTATGTTTCATCAAAGATTCGATATGAACAATAAGATTTGGTTTTCGCAGTTTCTAAGATACGGCTCGATTTATTAGCATTTTAAGACGATAAATTGCAGCCCTTTCGGTCGAGAGATACGTACATCACGCGCGAGAAGCGCTTTTCTCTCATATCCGGAATGATCGGTTGAGAAGAAGAAGAAGAAGAAGAAAAAGGAAAAAAAAGAAAAAAAAGGAAGACGAGAGATACCATTTTTCGCGCCAGAGACGGAGTATGCTAAATAATCTTGAGACGGATGACTCAGGCGAATATGATACGCGACAGATCGCCGTCGTAGACGTGCACGGCTCGTCGCCTGGCCTCACACATTCATCTATATATGTAATAAGGAGGTCACCGACGTCCCAGGATAGCCCATCCCGAAGCAATGGAGCAAATGTTCCGTCATCGTCCCGCACGATGAATGATGTTTGGCGAGACAAATGAGGTGCCCCCTAAGAGCAATAGCGCGGCGGATAGGAAGCGTCCGCACGTCTCCGTGTATATCCCGGAGCGTTTCGGAAGTTCGGTCGTTTAAAGCAGCTTCGACAGCTAATTGAAAAACTTGTGCGACAGCGCGGCGTGCGGCGATAGATAAAGAGGGAATGTGGCGTTTAGGTGAGAGTACGTACGGGAAAACGGTCGGGTAGGACCTCGATAATTGATTGCCGAGTAATTAATAAATCTTGACGGTTGGCACATTATTGTATGCCGCTGGCATCTGGCCCAATAAATGTTGCGATTATTTGACACTCGGATGTCTGAATGAAAATATGTATGTGACTGTTGACGCTTACGTCAGAGAGGAAATTCCATGTCATTTGTACCAATGTTACGTTGTGTGATAAATTATACATAAGGTAAATATGTACGTATGTTATGTGGCAAAGCCAGCGTTTCGCGTTTGTAGCCATAAGAAGTAACACTCGCGAACTTTGCTATTATTATTATTATTATTATTATTCAGAGAATGTCTGTATTTCTAATTTAATTAATAATCGATGTTTAATATTTATTAATTTTATGTTACATATCGTTATCGTTTATTCATCAAATAGACACACGTTAGCGGCTTCCGCCGCTCAATGTTTTTCTTCTCATGAAAGAAATGGGGGAGTGACGAATGAGGGAGAAATTGGATTGAGTTTGTAGAAAGGACGCCTCGGTCCTTAAAGTGTCGCCGACAATGGGCAAGAAATCCTATCCCTTTAAGCCAAATGCACATCTCACCGCACAGTTTCACGAATGACAAAAACAATTGCATCGTGGACAGTTTATAATTTGACAGCATGTTGTTGAAGAAATAAAGAAAACAATGAAGAAAATCGATCATGGTTTTATTATTTTTTAATATTCT